GATTTGAATCAGGCAACGGGACTCATGCTCTAGCCTGGACTGAAGATGTTACCAGATGATCACTATTTTTATCTTCAATATATCTTCAGGGTAGTGTTCTACTTAGAAGAAAACTGATATTAAAATCAACATCTTTTTTTGTGGTAAAAATCCATATACCGTATGTCAAAAGTTCTCAATTAAAAACGCAGCCTTTGGTGACAGTTATTTATAATATACTTCACAGGATTTAGGTGCCCTCCCCTTGCTTGCAGAAAAGTACAGAATGATGTATTAGGAACTGAATAGCTCATTGTTGAATGTCTTGACTCCATTTTACGTAGACAAACATACAACCATCAGTTTTTATTCATAACATCTTAGGTATGAATATGGGAAGTAAAGAAAAAGAATTGGCACATGGAATCTGAATGTTTGTAGTGTGACATTAATAGTGCTCATTACTGAGGGCTAAAAATACATGCTTATTATAGCTAACTCTGCCAGATCAGTTTTGCGTGCATAAATGATTTCTATATTTAATACTTTAATGTTGCTACCCAGAGAGTTTGAACAGCAAACATTTAATTTCAACAACGCTAGACTGCCATGTTAGTTGAAAATGCTGTTTATTTGTCTTAGTAAAGACACCGCATGGTGCTCTCTTGGGCTTAATGATTGCTGTCATTATGAAGATGAATATTTGTAGATCTAGTCTAAAGACCAACCCTAATGTTTTTGTTCAGGTATCAAGAACTGTGATCCAAAGTCTCCTCTAATGATGTACATCTCCAAGATGGTACCCACCACTGACAAAGGCCGTTTTTACGCCTTTGGTCGGGTCTTCTCTGGTGTGGTGGCCACTGGCCAGAAGGTGCGCCTCATGGGTCCAAACTACACACCTGGCAAAAAGGAAGATCTGTATATAAAACCTATCCAAAGGTGAGCATTTTTTTTTCCGTGCAAATAATTAATTAATTGAAGTTCTAGCCCTTTTCACTTTTAAAAAATCTTTTAAAAGCAGTTTTAAAAACGGATGGATATTTGACTGGTAATTTTGCCCATGATTGATTTTTTAAATTTATTGTTATCCAGCCATGTATTCATCCATCCATTTTCCTATAAACCCTGGATGGGACGCCAGTCCACCGCAGGGCACACACAGGCACAAACACACAAAATCATTCGAGGGTCTAGTGTACAGAAGCCAATTACTTACCAGTATGTCTTTGTACTGTGGAAGGAAACCCATCTGAACACAGGGAGAACATACAAACTCTACACAGATAGCACCCCAAGAATTCAACCCAGGGCCCGTGCTGCAAGGCAGCAATGCTAATCACTGTGCCAATGCACCACACATTTATTTTCATTTAGATCCCAAATATAATTCTTAACAGTGACATTTATATTTGGCATCTCCACAACTAATGACACTGAGCACCACATATTTAAACAGCACAAGAACAAATATGTATCCCAGAACTTTATTACTGCCAAACATGGAACTTTAGTTAAAACATTCAACTTAAATGGTGATTATTTTCTTTCTTCTATACTGTATATAACATTATAAATCAGCTCTTGAAGCTGGAACAAACTCAAGACCACATTGAAGCCCTTAAAAGCAAAACAACAGTTAATTGTAACGAAATGAAGTTTAACTTTGTCCTGCGCACAGAACAATCCTGATGATGGGGCGTTATGTGGAGCCCATCGAGGATGTGCCCTGTGGGAACATTGTGGGCCTGGTGGGGGTCGACCAGTTCCTGGTGAAGACTGGCACCATCTCCACTTTTGAGCATGCTCACAACATGCGTGTGATGAAGTTCAGTGTCAGCCCCGTGGTGCGTGTCGCTGTGGAGGCCAAGAACCCGGCCGACCTGCCCAAACTGGTGGAGGGCCTCAAACGTCTTGCCAAGTCTGACCCCATGGTTCAGGTATTTTACATGGCCATTACGAGACAAAAAAACCATATAACATTATAATCTATTTAACATATTTACAAATATGTTAATTATAAGATAAGATCAGATCTTTTATTAGCCATATACAATTTCTTGGATTAGGAATTTGTCTTTTCACATACCCCAACTTGCTCTCCATGAGACACAAAGACAGGGATAGAAGCTTGGGGTCAGAGCGCGGGGTCATTATACGGCGCCCCTGGAGCAGCTGCGGTTAAGAGCCTTGCTCAACATAGGATTCTAGGATTCTTCTGCCAGCCACGAGATGAACCGGCAATGTTCCAGCCACAGGCGCAGATCTTAGCCACAGAGCCACCCCATGTACACCTCATGCATGTACACAAAAATGTATGTAATATGTATAAATTGTAGACATAAAATTACATATTTACAGATGTAATATGTATGTTTATACATATATAAATATGTTTGTTTATGTATTTAATTATAATTTAATTAATATAAAAAATGAAATTAAAACAGCATTTTAAAAGAAGCTGAAAATGTTGAAAGTAAGAATGAACCCTTTGGTGGTTTGCTACTTTAGTTTCAAGAACATGGCTGGGTACCTTGCTCCTTTCTCCCATAATCTTTTGCGTAAAGAAGTTGCTTTTGTTCTTTAATGCCCAGTTGACTTTGTTAGTGCTTTTGATGATTTATATTGGATCTCTTCCCCTTCTGTGTTCATGACTAAAAAGGTTCAGTTCCTATTTCTTGTCAGTGTGCGAGTTTCCCTTAAGACTGTAAAATAAATCATAAACAGTTGTTCCTACACTTGCATACTATATGTGTGAAGATTATTTTATAAATCTGGTTATTTTGTCTGGTAAAGAAAACTCTTAGAACTTAATCTTAGAACTTCGAAAGAAAAAGCAAATCTTACAGGAAACACAGATTACACTGAATTTCAATAATTCATAGTAAATTAATAATTCTAACATTCAAGGTTTTTTTTAATTTTAGACCTTTGTTCATAACTAATTTAAATTTTATTATTTTTCTGTCCAATGGTTACATTTTGTAGTATTGCAGCCGGGAGCTGTAGTGAACTATAGAACTGCTTTCTTTATATATATATATTTTTAATAAGAGGCTTTTAAACAGCTGTTTTCATGGTGAATCACTGCCTTGAAATTAAACATGAGGCTCCTAGCTGTTAAAACCATTAGTTAAAATGTTTCACCAAGGCTTCACTTTTAATCAGTAGAATTATTTGAATATGAACAAGTATCAACAACCCCTTCATATATTTGATACATGACTGTCTGGTAAACTGAAAATGATTCATTCAGTTCATTCATTTTTTTAACAAATAATAACCAGTTACACACATTCTCATAGCTGATGTAAGTTTGAGCTAACCATGACTAAATATTGAGATGTCTTTGTACACCTGAGTATATTATTCCTTTTGCTAGGTCAAAGTCTTCTTTTCTGTTCTTTGAAATCCCTTTCCTTACTTTGACAGTGTATAATTGAAGAGTCTGGGGAGCACATTGTAGCTGGAGCTGGGGAGCTGCACTTGGAAATTTGCCTTAAAGACTTAGAGGAAGATCATGCCTGCATTCCCATTAAGGTGAGGACTGTGGTGCAGACATATTATCTGTGTGTCTTACAAAAGTCAATTATCTGTTGATGATTAGGAGGTACAGGCTATAGCTCTTCAGAGGCTTATTTACGTAATTCATCAAATTATACTGAGGCAGAAGACATATCACAGAGGAAAACTTTCCCTCAAAAGCTTCTATAAGAAACATCTTATACTGCTTATTTAGGTGTTGGTATGTGATGAAGGTGATGTACTGTTAAGTGCTGATAAATGTTTTATGTTATTGTGGTTCTCCTCTAGCAATCAAACATGTGTTATACTTAAATCTTTCATGTCTTAACAGAAATCTGATCCTGTGGTGTCTTATCGCGAAACAGTCAGCGATGAGTCCAATCAAGTCTGCCTGTCCAAGTCTCCCAACAAGCACAACCGTCTCTACATGAAAGCTCGGCCCTTCCCAGATGGGTTGGCTGAGGATGTTGACAAAGGGGATGTGACTGCGCGGCAGGAGCTGAAACAACGAGCCCGCTACCTGGCAGAGAAGTACGAGTGGGATGTAGCTGAAGCACGCAAGATCTGGTGCTTTGGGCCTGATGGCACTGGGCCCAACATCCTGGTGGACGTAACCAAGGGAGTGCAGTACCTGAATGAAATCAAGGACAGCGTTGTTGCTGGTTTTCAGTGGGCAACCAAGGAGGTGTGTATTAATGAATGTCTGTTTAATGTTAATGGTGAGCCTCCCACAGTGACTCTCAGTGAGTCGAGAAAATTATTTCTCTTCATTTTCCACCACTAGGACAGAGCCTCTCAAAATGACTCTTTGAGTTGGGGTTCTTTCTCTTCCTTTTCTGTCCCCCGCGGGCCAAGTTTCCCAGTCGTGAAGCAGCTCCTCTCAAGTGATTCTTGGCGAGTCAGGGGTGTTTGTGTTTTCAGGCCCTGGAGACTGCTAAACCAGCAAAACCCCAAAAGACCACTCAAGTTCCCAGTGTGGTCCAGGTGTTCCTTTTCAGACTTAACCAACTGCTGCTTTTCCCTGTTAACAACCTGTCTGTCTGTCTATCTTTTAACAAAGATACAGCTTACAAGTCAATATAATTGTGGACTACATTTTCTTTAAAAATGTGCTAAAAAATCATCTACTTGGGAAAGAAAGGTACAATGTCAATAAAACGGACCTGATACTAACTCCAGAGCAAGGAAAATTAGTATCCTGCAAAACCTGACGCAGAAGTGGATATCCATCAGGCAAACCCAGTCTCTTTTTCCAAATGAAAGAAAAGTAATGGTAATAAATAAATCACATTCCTTATATGAAAATATCTTCATGATCTGCTTTTTTAAAATGTGTATTAAACAGAGCTGTGTCTTGGGAGGGTTGTAAAAGTCTTGGCGCTGCTGTCCTGCAGGGTGCCCTCTGCGAGGAGAACATGCGTGCTGTACGCTTTGACATCCATGATGTCACTCTCCATGCTGACGCCATTCACCGCGGAGGGGGCCAGATCATCCCCACAGCCCGCAGAGTCCTGTACGCCTCAGTACTGACAGCACAGCCCAGGATGATGGAGCCCATCTACCTGGTGGAAATCCAGGTAACCGGACTACACTTTTGGCCTTTTGTCCAAGACTTTGTTTTCAGGGAGCCAGGTTTTTTTTCAGGTAACATCACACAGAGTTCATCACACATCAGAGATGACATTTAAATATAGCAAAACTGAAAGATGTTGTTTTCTTTTAGAGACAGCTTATTTGAAAAAGCTTAAGCAGACAGTTCAGCAACAATGTGGACATCTCACGTCACACAGTTGGTAGCGTGAATGCCATGCATTTGGGTTCACAAAATGAAGAGCTGCAGCTATGGTTCAAAATTGACAGGGTAGCAACAAAAAACTCGTTCTTTTCACTGAAAAACAACCAGCTTCACGTGTATGATTCATGTGTATGGAAGTCTTAAAAGTCTGTTGTGTGTATATATATATATGTTAGGTGAACATGGACTTTCATTTGCTCTGAAAATAAATACCTTGAACCAGAGAGCTCATACTTTTCTGAAGAATGCCCCATATTAAACTTTATTCTTTCTTGTGTGCACTAGCACTTACAGAGCTCCAAAAGGAAGAGGCAGGATGTAATCTAAATTACTGGCTTAATAAACTCCATGTAATATGAACCACGTACGGAACAGAACAAGCAATGACTTAATGCGATATTTTTTACCTCATTTCTAGTGTCCAGAGCACGTAGTGGGCGGCATCTATGGTGTCCTAAACAGAAAAAGAGGTCATGTATTTGAAGAGTCTCAAGTTGCAGGAACACCAATATTTGTCGTTAAAGCTTACCTTCCTGTAAACGAATCGTTCGGTAAGTGGCATCTTCTTTGGCATTAGTTCAGAATTTGCACACTGAAAATGTTTCACTTAACAGAAACTGAAGTCTTTAATATACCATTTAAAACCTTTTTAGCATTTCGATGTATGTTTACAAAATAGAGCTAACCAATGGAGTATGAGAATGAAAAAGTAACTGTTTGTATAAAACAGGTTTTACAGCAGACCTGAGGTCCAATACTGGTGGCCAGGCCTTCCCGCAGTGCGTCTTTGACCACTGGCAGATCCTCCCAGGGGACCCCTTTGATGACAACAGCCGTCCAAGTCAGGTTGTGGCAGAAACCCGCAAGCGCAAAGGCCTGAAAGAGGGAATCCCTGCTCTGGACAACTTCCTTGATAAACTTTAATCCATCACGATGCTTCTGTGTTTTAGGCCATGACCGCATCTCAGAAGACAAGAATATACACTGCAGAGTAACAACGCATTTCAATAAAATCATTAAGGCTACAGCTTTGTTAAAACTAGTGTTTTGAAACCACATTAAAACTATGAAATAAAAGTGTAATTATTGAAAGTCATTTTGTACAACTGTTGAAAAATGTTTCAGGAATTTAACGCATTCTATAGTTAGCTTTCTGTTTTTAAAGCCAGACCACTTGACAAAAACTAGATGTTAACTGATGATAAACTGCTCAAACAGGCCTAAATTAATTAGTGCAACATGAACAGAAGAAGGGATAAGTTCTAGCTTCAAAGTTCCCAAAGAGATTTACTTTGAAAGCACAATTTTTGTGCAAGGCAATGGCCAATTTTAAGATGTTTGATCCCTCCTAAGCTGGGTCTCTATTGTCTATATTAAGAGAGACCCCCTCTTTAATACCTTTGAATTCAGTTGGTTGTCTTTCCAGTCAATCTTATGCGTTTGGTAGGCAGATATTCCCAAATGTGCTTTTTGTAGAAAAACCTGCTCTTTGAATACTTTTACGCAGCAGTCTCTTAATTTACACAAAATCCTTTTTTGGATATAAAGAGGGTGGGTAACTGGCCCAAGTGGCCAGAAACATTCTTCTGTATCAACCAAGTCTCTGTAGTGTGCTGATAAAGCTCTAAGATGGTAAAAGGGATTTACAGTAGGATTATTTTAGATAAAAGTTATCCTGGAGCGTTCCATGTAGAATTTGAAGTTATTAGTTCCGCATGCAACATAAAAATTTCCAATATTGTGTATATATTTTCCAACTCATTGTTTTGAAATGTTTTTTTGGGGAAGTTTGGGAAGTTTTGAAAAATGTGTACGATCTGTAACTACACAACTATACTGCTCTATAATTTGACTACACATGCTATGATTTATCTTGAGCCACATATTAAAGCTTAGTGAAATATGGCAGATGCTTATATTCTGTGACCCATAAGACTCATTAGACAATCCAATACTTTTAAAATAACTGGAATAATGCTTAGAACCAAAAATATCAGACCACATTTAAGGAACAGAAAAAATCTAAGTATAATATTTGAATTATTTCTTAAGTAGTGTGGGTACAATCACTAATAAAATACCTTACAACTATTCTTTGCAGTTGATTAAAACATCACAACACAGACTTTGAGCTATTGCTTTTTACATAAAATATCTGACCACATCTGAAGCATTATTATGGAAGGCTTAGTTTATTGCTATATGTAACAATCAGAACATAGGAGAAAAATGCACCGCATGAAGTCAGCTATTATAAAGTTGAGCTGCCTCTGAATGTTTTATACAACTTAATCGGAGCATCAGCCTTCAAAACACATTTACACATCAATAGTTCCCATTCACAGAGTCTGTCCTTTTTTCCATCTGAATGGGTTTTGAAAGTCCACTTCATTGAGTCAAAGGCAATGTACAGAGTTTTTTTTAAAAAAAGAACCAAAGGATTTAAATTTTGAATGGCTTAAAAACGGTTCAGTTCAGTACACGCTGTATTTCCGCTGTCTTCTGCTGTGTATGAAGAAAAGGTTTGAAGTCTATATTCTTTAATCCAGGGAAATGATATCTGGAATAATGGTCCCCCCGCCTCCTGTAATGACTCCAGTTTCGTTCCTGGCAGAGCCACTGCTGTGACTGCTACTCTCATAATGGCTGCTTGTGGAAATCAGGCCTCCGCTTGTTGCTTGTTGCTGTAAGGTGCTGGGGAGGTTGTCCAGGAACATCGGAGTGCGATACTGCAGTGGACACAAAGCATGTAAAAACGCCTCAGTAACATATTGCTTCTGAAAAATTGAACTGGGATAACATCTTTTCAAGGGACGTGCCACCTCAAACCTCTTTAAAACTTAATATTCACAAACACAAAGCTATGTTCAAACTTATTACAAGACTCAAATAATTATACAATTAATTAAAATACCATCATGGGGACATAGCAATACTAAGAGAGAAATTACTCATTAAGAAATAATAAACATCCGTTACCTTCACCAGACAGGCAGGAAAAAGTTTATATACTGCAAAAATATTCTGAAGCTTTTGAGAAAATAGTGATTTGGTGAGATTTTAGATACTGACAAGATAATTATGGTAGAATAAGATAATTTGTAGTAGGTGCTACAAAACTGCGAGTCGAGGGGAAAAAAATGCCAACATGAAAACAGAAACCCCTGTGAAAAGAAAGTCCAACTACAACACCAACAACTTTTAAATGTATCCTTTATTAAATACAGTATCAAGCAGTTTCTAGAAAATAATCACACACATTATATTTTCATATTTGAATGTATATAAATTTGTTGAGTGTTTTAATTTTAAAAAAATCTAACATTCACAGACTGGAAACCACAAGCTAAATTACTCTGGTCAATTTTGCTTTTCTCAATGCTGAAATCAGTAAAAAAAACTACATAAATCTACAAAACAGGCAGTTTCAAAACAAGCAACCAGCTAAAATTACTGGTGAAATGGTTACAGTATGTAACCTCCAACTTCATGGTTACGTTTTGGGTTAAAAATTCTGAATTTCCACTTAAAACATCTTGTCCTTGTATTTTGCTTCAAACGGTACATAACTTAAGTCCATCACAACAAACTACATTACTTTTGATGAACTGTGCTTGGCACATGCTTCATTTTCAAAGTTGACAGCATGTCCAAAAACCTGAAAATGTAAAGCTAATTTTTATTTCTGGTATAAACAACTTGGGAAGTAGTCTGGTGGGTAGGATTCTCATAGAGAATGTATGATATGCTGCAAACTTTGTAGTACTGAAGAAAGATGTTACTTAAAAATTATGAAAGAATGCATTTTTTAGTGCTTTCATGCACCTTTATCGGCACTACTTGCAGATTATTCCATATTATTTTAAGTGAAGAAGTCTAGGACTTTCACTATTCTTGGCCTGGGAATCTAGTGTGGAGCCAATGCAGTGCTTTAGGGTGAACATATCACCCCCAAGGTCTTCAATTTATTGAAATTCAAGTACAGTCCCATCCACAGAATCCATCCACAAAATTTTGAGTCATTGAGGTTTTTACATCAGAGATACAGTTAGTGTAGAGACATCCACTTCAGTGTCAGGTTTAATATGGATGTAGATTTGAGTATCATCAGCATAGAAATGACTAACTCTCCTTTCCGGCTGATCCTGTTTGGTCAAAATAAACACACAGCAGCAGCCGAACCGATATCGATGGAAGCCCGTTTCCGCCAGGGAGTAAAAAAAAAAACGTGGTATGGTATCCCGCAATTGCATCTTTGTATCTCAGAATGCCGACTTTAAGTTGCAATTGCAACTTAAAAACTCAGATTACGACTTCAAAACTCAGAATTGTGACTTCATATCTCGCAATTGCTACTTCGAAATGGCCCACATTTCATTGTCTGTCATTTTGTTATTGTAACAGATTCGGGTTCTAGGGCTTGTGCCCTGGCCTCTCCCAAGGAACAAAATCCTTTTTTACTTAAATTCTATTAGAAATTTAAAGAATTAAAAGGCAAGACATACAATGGAAATATGTAAAAAGTTCCAGCTTTTATAATTGTGAATTCTTCTGGATGTGAAGTGTCTATTTCTGTATCTTTTTTCATATTCCGTCTCCTTATTTCTGGTGTTTAAATAAAAACTTTTTTAAAAAGCCCACCGTCCACTTTTCCGACCAGGTAATGGGATTCCATAAAAACTAGTGTAATTAATTTGATTTTTATCAGGGCACTGTACAAGACAAGTCTTCAGGTCTATAGATCCTATGATCCTGTACGATTTATGAATATAGTGTAACGGAACGGCCGACATACAGGTTGTACGATCTGGTTGCAGTGCGGTGACAGCACAGACCTCCCCTGCGCGTAACAGGGATGCTGGCCGCCGGGGCTAAAGAAAGTCTTCTTTAGCTCAGCTGGCAAGATCTGGGTTCGAGCCAATGCAGTGAGGCATGAACTAGGGTGGGAGCGGCGAGGGCACAAGCCCTAGAACCTGAATCCGTTACAATAACAAAATGACAGACAATGAAATGTGGGCCATTTTGAAGTCACTAATGTGAAATAAAAAGTCGCAATTGTGAGATATAAAGTCACAATTCTGAGATTTGAAGTTTAGAAATTGTAATTTTAACTTGAAAAGGTTGCCCTGACATCTGTGAAAGGCAACATTTTTTTTCAGCAGGGATTCTGTCAATTAAATGTATGTACAGATGCAGCCATTCAAAATGGGTGAGGTATTTCGCGGCATACCCCGGTGGGCGTGTCACAGTATCACGCAGTATCACGC